CAAGAAATCAACCCCCAGGGGGGAATGGCCATGCCACAATCCCTTCTCCTCCATTTTCCTCTCGGGATCTTGGACACGCACGCACACGTGCCCGGTGTGAGTTTAAGCCACCAGATCCGGGACTTGAACTGTGATCTACTACATGGGAGTCCAGCAACATAGCCATTACTCCAATAGCTGGTCCCAATCACATATATCTAAATGATGTATTGCATTTCTTTTTCCAGTACAATTACCATGCATATCAGTCAAGACATATTACTATTCACATAATCATCAGCAAATAACTTTTCATCTTTTTCAGATTACTATTATTTTTAAATTCTTCTTACATTTTTAAATATTAAATTGCTATACATCATTTGGCTTGTAAAGAGAATTTACCTAACACAAAATACTTTTCAGACTAGTCTACTTTGAGAATACTGTACATGTTATCCTCAGCAGGTAATAAACCATTTCTGTGTCCCACAAATGTCATGCCTGTCTATTTTTTCTCCTGCTTTCCTTCTCTATACTCTTCCCTTCTACCTCCTCCCCTGTCCCAGTCATTCCACACTATTTTAAGCATCCATACTTATTTTCACTGCTTTTATGCCCTCCAATATTTCAATCTTTACTATATAGTGTGGATAGTTGTATATATTAAGTGGATACATACAATGTCTCTCCTTCATAGCCTGGCTTGCTTCACTCAGCAATAAGTCTTCCATATTTGACCACTTTCTATCAAACACCAGGGTGCTGCTGGTTTTTATTTATGGCTGAGTAGTATTCCATAGAGTATATGTGCCACACTTTTTCCATCAATTCATATGTTTGTGGACATTTGGGTTGGTTTGATGTCTTAGCAATCTTGAATAATGCCACAATAAACAATGATGTGCAAGCACTTTTCCAACTGAGCATTCTCTTGTCCTTTGGGTAGATACCCAGGAGTGGAATTGCTAGATCATATGGTTGTTCTATTTGTAGATCTTTGAGGACCCTTCATGTTGCTCTCCATAGTGACTGGACCTATTTACATTGCCACCAACAGTGTAGGAGAGTTCCCTTTTCACCACAACCCTGCCAACACTTTTCACTTTTTGTGTTTTTAATTTTCGCCATTCTGACAGGGGTTAGGTGGTAGCTCATTGTGGTTTTATTCTGCATCTCCTTTATGATGAGGAATGTTGAGCATTTCCTCATATGCTTTTTGGCTGTTCATTTGTCTTCCTTAGAGAGAGTTTTGTTCAGCTCATTTTCCCATCTTTTAATTGGGTTAATTTTTTTTTTTGAATAAGCTGCTTGAGTTCTCTGTGTATTCTGGTTATCAGTCTCTTGTCTGAGGCATAGTTTTCAAAAATCTTCTCCCATTCTGAGGGTTGTCAATTCACACTAACTACTGTGCCCTTCGCTGTGCAGAAACTTCTTAATCTGATATAGTCCCACTTGTCTATTTTAGGGGTCATTGCCCATGCATTGAGAGTCTTATTTAGGAAGTCTTTTCCTACCCCAATGTCTCCCAGAGTCTCCCCAGTGTTTTCCAGCAGTAGTTTTATAGTTCGAGGTCTTAGGTTCAGATCTTTGATCCATTTTGAGTTGATTGTTGGTAATGGCGAAAGACAGGGGTTCAGTTTCATCTTTCTGCAGGTGGATACCCAGTTTTCCCAGCACCATTTGCTAAAAAGGTTTTTTTTTTTCACTGGATTGACTGATATCCTTGTCAAAAATAAAAAAATATGGAACACTTCACAAATTTGCATGTCATTCTTGTGCAGGGCCCATGCTAATCTCTGTATAGTTCCAATGTTAGTACATGTGCTGCCGAAGTGAGCACCCATTGGTGTTTCAGGCTAGATGTGTACACATGTGTCCAGAGTTGCAAGAAAAGGATTGTGGCATTGACTGGACCCCATTGTGTGTGTTGGGAGTATTCCCTTGCTTTCTTTCTTTCTCTGTCTCTCTCATGCATGTGCAAATATTCTAGTATAAAAAAATCATTGGAGGATCCCAAATATTTTTTAATGTAGGTTATATTTTTCAGTTATTATTTTAGAAATTAAAACTGAAATACACATCCTGGAGCCTTGAGGAGTGAATGAGAGTGAGAAAAGAGCGATGTCTTCGTGTTACTGCCAGCACAGCTGTGACACAGCAGGCCAGATACAACAACTGCTGCTGCCTTAAAGGAGATCAGTGCACTGGACTGCTTCCTATCCCGCAGACCGCCCTCATTAAGGGACATGACTAACTTGCCTGTTTTTCCTCCCCTACATTCTATGTTTACCACATGCTTTTAACTATTTTAATTATTTCTATTAATAATTTTTATTTTTTCAAGTTCAATTGTTCTTATTGCTGAGATCATGTTAAAATAGCTCTCAAAAAAAAAAAAAAGCTGTTAAATACTAATCACTTAGATGCTTTTAAAAGATATAGTCTCTTGGACCAGCCTGTGGCATGATAGTTAAGGCATCTGAATCCCACATGGCTACTGTTCAAGCCCTGGACCCAGAGTCTTGAAAAGCATGCTATGTGCATGCATGTGCATGCGTGTGCATGCCCAAAATTCTGAAAGAAGGGATTGAAGAGCGACCACTCCCATGTGGGCTATTCTCTCTC